GCATTGACACCATTCATACCCTTGGTTGGTATCATAAGGAAATTAGTTGACGAAATTATTATGATCTACGAAAATGCTGATCATAATAAAGTTATGTGCCGATCCTTAGTTGATCGTGTGGATGCTGCGTATACATCCATAAGAAGCTTGTTAAGAAGACAAGAAGAAAATGAAGAAAAGTTTCGGGACCAAAGTTTTTATGATGCTTTTTATAGATTTGTAACTATTTTGGAACTTATCAAGGGTTTTATTCATGATATTTCAAAAATTTCAAGATTACGAAAGTTTTTAGATGCCAAAGCAATTAATGATAAATTTGATAGTATTATTTTAGATCTGGACCAGGGAATACAAGATTTAAATCTTTCAATTGCTATTTATAATTTTGAAGAATTAGACTCTATTAAAAAAGTAAGTCTCATTGTGTAATTTATCATTTTATAAGCATTATTTAAATTAAAACTTGTTATTTGTAGAGCGTTCTACATGTTCGCAATGAAAATGCACTTATAATAGATCAAGTTAGAGCAATGGCATCAACTCTAGAGGAAATTGAAAAATATGTAACTAAAGATAGCGTTCCGCCGAATATTACTGATATTTTCAAAGCTCCTGAGATAGACTCTAGATCACTTCAGGAACCACCTAATAATAAAGATAATGATTTACGTGGAAGTGATTCATATGGAAATGGAAAAGTTTCGAGAAAATTTTATCAAGGCGGTATACAAGTTGCATGCATAAAATTTGAATTTTCTCAAAATAATAAATTACAGCAATTACAACAAACTGAATTAAGTATTTTAAACAAATTATCTGCATGTCAAAATATCATAAAGTTTTATGGTATTTCACGTATAGAAAACTATAAAGTAATGGTTTTTGAGTGGATGGAAAATGGTAATTTAAAAGATCTTTACACAAACTTTGAAATAGATTGGGAATGGAAGTTACGAATAGTTTGTGATATTTGCAATGGCCTGGCATTTTTACATAGTTGTGAATATCTTCACCATGATATCCGTTGTGAAAACATTCTAGTATGCACATTTTTACTATTTTATTTTAATTTTCTTTTTTTTCGAATTTAATTGATTGTTTTTTTCCAATTATTAGATCACTGATGTCATGGTTGCAAAAATTTCAAACTTCAAAACAATAAACCACTGTAAATGGATTAAAGACAATAAAAATTAATAATATGATATTGGTCATGGTCAGCCTGGCAGGATTAACGTTTAATGTTATAATAAACCAAAAATTTGCCAAAAATATGTATATTTAAGTATGTCATTATAGGTTAGTTATTTGAATAAGTTATTGATCCAACCCAGTTTTTTTTTTTTTTTTTCTGTATCAATGGTTTAACTTTTGTTTTTCAAAAAAAAGTTATAGCGGCTCTTCACTTAAAATTGATAATTATTTAGCTACGTTTTACTTAATAACTTAACAAAGGATTTTGTATTGGTACCTTACAAAATTTTGGTATAATAAGGCCTATATTATTTTAAAAGAAAAATCCTTTTATTTTGTCATTATTTTATTTCACATTACATTTAAAAAAGACGGAGTTAATAGTAGATAATCGTCCAACGATTAGTTTCAAAAGTTTTAAACGATGGTTGCCAGCTTAACCAATTTTTCGGTTAATTTCGATCTTATCACCAGTGACGATGATGGAGAAATAATTGGGATCTCGTGTAGTATACATGACATCATTATGTATATGTCGTGTCTGAAGTTGACTAAAGTTGGAACATCGAAAGTAGGTTTACTTAGTATCAAACTAGTTTCGATGCATTTTTTAATGGGACCCAATTTTTATACCCCCCAACACCAACAATAACACCCCCCCCCAACTCTAACCTGTTTTCACCCATCCCGCGCCCCAAC